TAAAATTTTCCCAATGTTCTTCAAAAAATTAAAATTTTTAAAATTGTGTGAATAATATATGAAAATTTTCATCTGGTAACATTTTCTTGAATAGAAACATTGTATAAAATGCTAAAATATAATTTTTAAATAAGTAAATAAAGAAGTTTGCTCAAAGGGTGCCAAGTCCCCTTAAAACTTATGGATGTTATTTTTGAAATGGATGGTTATTAGAAATTTATTTTTGTGACAGACTTTTAAACGTCAAAAGCTTCACAACTTATTGAGTTTATATTACAAGAGATGTGTTAAATGCACTCACTCTCTTTATGATGATTTAGAACAGTGATTCCCAAAATGGACCCCCTGGGGTCTATGACGACTTGTAAGTGGTCCATGTAAGCGAAAAAATAATTTTGAGGTCCATCAGGTGTAAATGGGGGTCTATGATAATGGCTCTCATTAAACCAGATCGTGACTTTTATTTTAAAAGAAAATTTAATCAAATGAAAAGCAGATGTTACCAATTTAATAGATGCATTTCCTCAATTTAACGAGGTTAATTTGCAGTTATAAGGTGATAGCTTAAATTTTATTGAAACAAGGAATATTTCAGCGTTTCTTTCCAGAATTAAGCTGAAGCAGTATAATATTGGAGGTCGTGAATTTTCTCAATTTGTCACAGACAATCCGTCAGGACGTTTTAATCAACGTTCAGCATTTAAATGCCCTTTATGCAGATTTTTAACTAGATTGGAGAATGCTTTGACGATGGTTTGTATTACCACAGTCACAATCAATTTATATGGTCACATAGAAAAACATGTTATAATAGGAACTGATCGGAATAGGCACCAACGAAGATTTTAAAGCAGGGGTGGGCAGACTTTTACATGGCACGGTCTACTTTTAATTTTTTTCAATGTGTCACGGTCCACCGTGTGACGTAGTTGTGATGAGCAAAAAAAAAACTCAACACAATATTCGTATTACAACAAAAATAAATATAGAATGTATATATACTTACCTACATAACTACAGCAGAAAAACAAAATTTACTCTTTTAAAACTACGTTTTAAGTAATACGCAAAATACTAACATAATAATTATACCTATAAATTTAATATCAAAAGATGCATTTTCAAGCAATTCACAATACATCACAAATTAAGTAATTTTCCCTTAAAGTTAGTTTTTAAAGCTATAGTCTCAATAGACGACCTAGTCGTCCTTTTCAAAGAGAAAAGCTTCGTTTTCCTCGAGAGATAAAGAAAACATGTAACATGTATATTTAGTTATATTTTTCATCAACATTGCCAAATGAATAACCCACGAATGCAACTTTTGTGGGATTCTAGTCTAGTAAATTCTTGAAAACGTCTCTCAAATTTGGTTTGGAGTTTTATTCACGGGTGTTTTCATTATCTTAGTAACCACCTGTGTTTCTTTTAGTATGCGCGTCTAAGATTTAATGTGAAGACGGTCACCCTAAAATGTCTTGGCGGTCCACCGGTCGATCGCGATCGACTTAATGCCCACCCCGGTTTTAAAGTAAAGCTTAGAAACAGAAATGCAAGCTATTTTGACATAAAAAAAGAGAGAGAGAGACCAAATGTTGAAAATTTTATTGAAACCCCAGATTCACATCTTTAACCTAATTGATTAGCATGTACTTCTTCAGTTTTAAACGATATTCTTCAATTACAGTGAAAAATCTAATACTTTTAAAGAAAGTAGCTGTATACTAGCTGTCAAAATGACATTTAAGTTGATAAATTTGTAAAAATTCAGTATTAGTTATGCAGGGGTCTACTCCAAACCAAAAAAGCATGGCAAGGGGTCTATTAGGCAGAAATATTTGGGAACCTCTGATTTAGAATAAATAAGCAACAATAAGAAAGGTAATTGCATGATGTAATAAAAAAAGTTTCTCAGAGAAAGCAATACAAATTTGAAGTACTCAGAGCAATTGGTCTTGTATTCCGTTATTTTTAATTTTCACTCTTAATTTATTCAATTAAAAAAGCTTAAAAAGAACAAAAAGAAAATAAAACTAATACATTGCTCATAAATTTGAGATTATATAATTGAAATTTTTTAAAGTTAAATATAATTAATAATTTTTTTATTATTTTTATAATTTGATTATAATTAAATTTGTACTTTTGAATAAAAAAAATGCTGTTCATGAATGCTTTGAAAAAAATTAATTTGAAAAACTTATAAATACTATATAATGAGGGATAAATTCTAATTCATTGAAAAATTACGTCTTATTTATCTCTAATGGTAACAAGTTAAGTTAACTTGTTTTATCTTAAATGGGATTAAATGAGCAAATTCGGTAATGATCATTAAAAAAATACTGGTGCACATTTAAGAAAATATATAATTTGGGGGGGGCAGAAATTTAAAAAAAAAAAAATTATCTAGCGTTAAAATTTTTCAGAATATTTTGTATTATTCAAAAATGTACGTTAATTTTTCTATTTTTCAATCAGAGCAAGATTTTTTGCACTTTTCCTTCGCAGACATGTAATTAATACATGCACTGTTCTTACTGATTGATTCCAATTCAATTATTAACCTCTTAACACTCTCGATCTTTAAAAATTTGTTTAATACTCATGCCAGTCACATTTCCAGAGCGTGCCCAACCATTTTACCCCTCCAAAGATTTTAAAACTAGCGCTCTCTTTTTCATTATATATACTTGGGTGCTAATTGTTTCATTTGTTTAAAAAATATTTTTTTTGTTTTAAAAAATACTTTTTAAAGTCAGTGGCGTAACGGAGAACATTTTGAGGTCTTCTGCGAAGTCAGTATTTAGGCCCCCAAGTTGGATTTTACAAAGGGTAGGTACTTTGAGGCAGTCAGGCTTTGGGTTCCCTAGAACCTGCCCCCCCTCATGATGCGGAGGTGGCGGGAGTGTACGTTACGCCACTGTTTATAAAGTACTTTTATATATAACTCCATTACATATTAGAAAACCTTAGCTTTTTAATTGACAAAACATATCGTGTGTTCTTGTATTTTGAGTGTGAACGATCTTTTTAGAAAATACATAAAACGTCGAGGGAAAAAAATGTTAATGACTGGTTCAATCACGGGTGAATATTTTAAATTCACGCGTGTGTAATTTGAAATAAAATGCGTGGAAAAAGTTGAGACTTTTTATCGTAAAAAATAATACCATTATGACAACTTTGTTCGGCTAGAGGAAAAAGAAAAACATGTCGAACAGATTATTAATCAATCAATGTACATTATAAAATTTTTTTTTAAACATTTTAATACCATGTGTCTTAAATAGGTGAAGGGAGTTTTTTCTTGTAAACAGTTTAGAAGGGGCTGTTTTTTGGTTAATGTTAAGGAATATGACCTGAATTTGGAACATTTTTTCAGATACAAAAGAAATGAAACATTAATATGATATTCTGGCTTCACAATGCGTAAGAGAGCAGCAATTTTTAGCATACTTTCCATTTTTAACTGAGGTGATTCATTTTTTCTGGTATAAAATGTGTTTCGTGTATTTTCTCCTATACCGTTACGTTAAATGAGCGATGCCTTCACATACTAATATGAAAAAGGAAGTATTCATGGATTATTTTGAAATTTTTCAAAACACTATATAGTTAACAGATGTATGAGTTATAATATTGCGATAATTTCCATGGAAATTCAGGCATTTTTCTGTCTGAAAATGTGCTTCGCGTTTAGTTCAAGCTCTCGGATTTTAACCGAAGACAGCCTTAAAGCTCTGTCATTTATGCATATTCGTGCTAATTATTGTGGAAACGAATTTTGAATCTTTTTAGAAAAGAATGTACTCATGATTAAAATTTCGAATTTACTGAGGTTATTTTTTAAAAGGTTATTAACCATTTTTTCTCAACAATAGCTGTTATTACTGCTAAAGAACTTTGTTTTATGTTGTTAGAGAGAGAAATTGAAAGCTTTAAATGTGTGTCATTTTCAAAGCCATTTAAAAAGAAGAGAAAGGCATAGTAAAAATAATAATAATTTTTTTTGTAGTAAAAAGAAGCATACTTTGAATTGTATTTACTAATTTACGTTGAAATTTGACCGGATCATTCGAATGTATTTTGAATTTCTTCAACGCATGCGTTCATCTAGATATGAGCAACTTGAGTCCAGATACTTTTTCAAGTTGTATTGTAGAATCTTTTGCTGTACCTCACTTGTTTCATTGAAATTATCGTAAAATAGATTTAAGTTTAAAGAAAGTTTATTGATAATTTAGAGGGGAAAGTTTAGTAATACGAGTACACTAGTGATTTAGTACACTTTTTTTTAATTAAAATATTTTTAAAAACAATTTAATTGTTCTTTGCTACTTACATATTTGCAGACTTTTGAACTTCAAACTCTTAAAAATAACCCGTTATATTTTTTAAGACGTATTATACTGTCGACCATTATCTCAAATTAAAAGACTTCTCCAAATTCCGCAATATGCAGCTAGTAGTAAAAAGCTGATCACACGCACGTTGAAACATATACTCTTGCTTACGCATTTAGCGGTGCTATTTGATTTGGCGAAATTGAATGACAGTATAAAACGTAAGTTCCATTTTGAAATATACCGTATCGGAAGACACTTCATACTTCTTTAGGCTGGTATTGGAAAAAAATAAAATATATTTAATAAATTAAAAGTAGCTAAAACCCTATATATGTTACCCCACACCTTTGGCAAAGAAGGAAATAAAAATATTTTTGAAATATATTGCTATTAGCAGTTTATTTTTCTGTACTGGACTTCTATCCAATATAAAGATAATAATCTTCCGTTAGAAATAAATTAAGGTGTATGATAAAATGCTTTTTATTCATCCACTCGAGTTCAAATACATTTTTTTAAACTTGTAGTGGAGGACACTTAATGTTAATAGTTTTTTCAAATATTAATGAATTAAATTTAATAAATAAATAAATGATGATAAACAAAAATAATAGTCCAACACCATATATAAAAAGTAAAATCACTCTTTGTGTCCCTGTAGAGCAATGGGCAGCGCGTTGGACTTCCATTCCAAAGGGCGGGGGTTCGAATCCCACCTGGGATGGCCAAATTTCTGAGAATGTGTTTTCTTTTTATTATATGCTATTTTATTGGAATAATTAAACTTAATTAATGAATAAATAGTAACAAACAAAAATAATAGTCCAACACCCAATATAGAAAGGGAAATGGAAAATTGTAAGGAGAAAATCGTTTTTTATTTTACCACTTAATATTGTGATTCTGTCATATGTGTAGCATATTTTTATTGATTGTAATTATTAAATAAAAAGAGTAACTAAAATAAAATTTTACTTTGTTAATCTAAGTAGATATTGAGAGAGAGACTTAAATTTTTTTTTATATATATATTACTTGTTTTTATATAAAGTGGTCGCATGGTGTAATGAAGGATTGGACCTCGGAGAACTTACGTTTGGAAATTCAAAAACAAAAAATCGTTAACACATGGCTTTTTTAACAGTATGAGTGGATTATTTTTCGATATTCCACTAAGTTTCAGCAATTAATTTTGCTTCCATAGTATTTTTTGGCTAAGCTTTTTTCATTTCTTTTTAAAGAAAAAACTTGACATGATAACATTAATAGGAGTGCATAAATTAAAGGGAAATACGGATGCTTTTTCAATAATTTGCATGCAGCGCCAGACAAGGAAAATTTTTTTAAAACTATCATTTCTGTATTTACCTTGAAGACAGCCGTTACAATGTTTCTGTTGCCATCTTTTGATACGTTTTACCTCCCATTGTAGTTTTCTGTCTACACGCAATGAATTATGCAATAACGTTAAATTTAGGTGGAAAAATTAGCACGATTTCCGTAACACGTGTTTTTATTTTAAATATATTACGCATCCTTCTTCTCTTTGCTGCTTGAATATACGCAACGTGTGAAGAAAGTGTCTAATTATAATTATTAGGCGTAGAGTATACGAATCTAGAAGTTTTCCATGAGGCTGAAAAATGAATATATTTTTTTTATCTGTATTTTGTTTAAACTGATTGCATGAGCTCTGTTACATCATAACTCATGTTATATTTGTTTTAGAAGATTGACTGACGATAAAATTTTGAGATGCAATATTCTATAAAAGCTCTTAATGCATGACTTGGTTTTTTTCGGTGTTCGAGCAGGAAAGATGTTAAAAATACCCTGTTGCATAAAAAAAAGTTTTGCCTTTTAAAGATAAATTTCTTTTAAAACCTCCTGGTCGCTGTGTAGCCTTGTGATGATGGTCCCGAATTCGAGACCAGTACGTCGCAATTTCGAGCCCTGGTGCCACTGAAAACCCGCCGCGTTGAAAGGGTCTATGTACGTTAAATCTGTCGAGTTCAAAGTTCTCCCACTGGCGTGGTGTGGTAGTTTGGAGAGGGAGGATGCTAGCTCCGGTGTCGTCATCATCACTTGACTGAGGTTCAAAATTACGAGGTCCGCGTCGATAATAGCTCTCGTGTTACTTTACAGTGCGATGTTAATAAAATTCTCAATTATTTGTTTACAACCTCGCGATTACTTGTTATGATTTAGAGCTGGATAGATAGCTTATGTAGCCCCGGAAGGTCTATCAAAAAAGAAATATTGCATTTATTCAGATATAATTACCAAAGAAGACTAGAAATAGTAGTTCCTTCGAATTTTGATGAATGACATTGTAATTAATTCAATAAGCTTTCCTTCGATTTTTGTTACAGCAAATTGATTGATTTTGATAAATGGGGGTGAAAAAGTTTATTAATATCGCACTTATAGCCAGCCGAAGGCTTTGGGTGAAGGACTTGGTAACTGTGAGTCTTAGGTGATGAGGACGATACCCGAATTGGCATCGCATTCTCCAAACTTCCACACCACTCAGTGCGAGGACTTTGAGCTCGGATAGATTTAATGTAAATCAATTTCGCTATTTAATGGGTCTTAAGTACTTCCGATTGATTCAACCGCACAGCATCGACCACAAGCTTGCAATCACTACTAACACCAATATTTCAGTACATTTGTTAACAGTTATGAGCGTTAACTTTCATCGCGTTGTTTCTATTGTTTTTATCGTTGCAAGAAGCTATTATTTTTCTTATAAAATTTATTTCGTAGATTTACGACATTTTGCATTCCATTGAAATCCGATTATACTTCGGGCTAAATGGCAAAGAACAGTTACTAAATAAATATATAATAGTTTTTTTTTATAAACACAAAATCTACTACTGAAGAAAAATAAATGTTCATTATTTTCAACATATGCAGTTACAAGTTCGCGCTGAGTGAATCAGAAACTTTTTTTTTGTATTTGGTAAGAGGTAGTAAATCCTCTAACTTAAAATGAATCAGAAATGTCAACAGCTTATATTTTAAATACACAAACATGTTTCCACAAGTAAATGAACGCATCTAATACAGACCGTTGGAAAACCAATGGCTCCGCCGTATGCTCCCCGCCATCCTCATTTTGGATTGAGTGAATATTAACGTCGCACTGTTCAGCTACACGAGGGCTTTTAGTGATGGACCACGTAATTTTGAACCATGGTCAAGTGACGTGGACGACACCTGAGCTGGCACCCCTCTCCTAATTACCACACCAAAGGGAAGACGTTTGAGCTCTCGCGACAGATTTGACGTGCATAACGCACGGCGGGTCTTTGGTGGTTCTGGGCTCGAACTCGTGACAAGGTCAGCCACGATCCGATACCTTGACCACTCGGCTACCACCGCCATTATTTTGGATAGATGTTACGTGGTAATTCCCCAAGTTAATGTAAATAGCGTGTGTGAGGGAGTTACAAATTATAAAATTGTTTTCCCGCCAGTAAGTATGTTTTACAAGAACACATTTTTGCGTAAAACCGAATGTGTACAACAAATCAAGTTAATTAGTCGTTTTGACCAATAATAATACTAACGTTCGGTCTTACCAATATTTTGGGTATCTTGCTGGGCTCATTCATTGACCCAAGAATTACGATATGTACAATTCACGTTTTTGTACTACCATACCAGTAAAAAAAACGTCCCTTATAATTTTTATGTATATTTTAAAGACAAGAATAACTATAGGGAGAAATCTGCAAACTTTTTTTTTATAAAGAAGGAATAAATCATAGCCAAATGCTGTAGCTTTTTTTTAAAAAAAAGTTACATACTAACACGATAAATATATGTTATTTTTTTAACCGATTCGAAAGAAATACTTGCCTTCGCTGACGCACCTTTGCAAGCCCGCTTGTGCATGTGGCAACTCTATCCTTCGCAAGAAATTTCTTTTCTGTACGTTTTTAGTGCCGAGAAACATGTAGAGACAACCCCTCATTATGCTCCTGCAAGTGGACGAAATGGCGATGTAGTATTTCCATTGTGAGCTCAATTGAGTGACAGTTTCGTGATCTGCGAATTAAAAGTCTGGGGAACCCACGAGCGTGCAACGCAAGTAAAGGATATTGATCGCTTTTTTTGCGAATAAAATCACTTGTAATCGCACTTAGAGCTAGAAGAGCGCTTTCTAAAGCAGTCAAGTTGGACCTCGTTTAAAATACCATTAATTATGTGATTTGTCACATAATCTTTTTTGTTCAGCTTGGTTGAGTTCCTAAATGTGAATTTTTTTGTTGTTCTCGTTTATCTGATGTGATTCTGTAATGCAGATTTTGCCACGATTGTGAATTTTCATCGATAATAAACATCCGGTATATGAATAAAAACATAAACAAGAAAAATAAATGCGAAAGTTTCTTATGGTTCAAGAGGTTTGTGTATTCAAGATCGTGTGAAATGATATTGTTGATATTGTTCGATAATTAGTAGTTTGTAATGAAAACTCTGAGATTGTTCAACGACGTGATGTGTTTTGTTTTCTGTTTCAGAGAGAAATGGATGGACCTGATCGGCATTCTTTACCATCTCTCCAAAAAAGTAAGTGATAAAATTTCCATTTTTGTTATTCTTCTTTGTTTTTTATTATGCTGTAATGAGAAGTGTATCCCGTATTATACTTTGTCGTATATTAAAAGCAGCTCGAATGTCTTTTATGTATTATTTTTCATTTTGTAATAATTTTTTATAATTCTCATGCAGATTTCTTAAAAAAACAAACTTTAAATTAGTGAAATTTTTCGTAAGATTTGTTATTTTAAATTTTTAATGATAAAATTAAAACATTTTTTTCGATTCTACTATGCTTTAATTAAAGGATTTTATATTGAGGGATATTTTACTATATGATATAAAACTCATCGAAATATTTTTTTAATGGTATCAACCTCATATTGGTCTATGTGTTAATTAAAAGCCCATTTTCCTTTTTCCGTGGAATAATTACGTTCATCCTTTTTTTTCTGTAATTGTCAATTACCTACGTGGAGACCTTTTAAAATCTTTTTGAATATCACTATTTAGAAAAAAAGAAAAAAAATTAAAAATTAATAAGTAAATATGTTTCTTTTTTTCTTACACGCAGAATTCTCTGAATTTTTTTAAAAATTAACAATATATATACCATTAAATATAATTGAGGAAGAGGTTAATATTTAGCTCATAATGATTTTTAAAGAATCATATCAAGTTAATTATCTACTACATCATAATTTTTTTATTATAATTGTTTATTTAATTTAAAATATGTGAGGAGAAGGTTATATCACATATATGTAATAAATGGCATACCTAAATGATAACTAATTCTCTCTTCTAGTTGAAATAATCCTCTTTGATAAGTAATTAAAATGCTCTGTAATTATTTCAGTAATTATAAATTTTAGAAATGTATGTCTGTTTTGAAAATAATTAAAACTGCTTAAACAATGCGAAAATTAAATAATAATTTCCTTTAATTCTAAAAATTTATTTATTGTAACTGAAATATTCAAAGCTACCCAATTTATTTGGATATCAATCCTTATAAATGTTATAAATGAATTTAAATAAATTTATAACGCATGTATATAGAAAATAAAAACCAAACTAATTAAAAATAACTTTTGAAAACTCTAGATGGAAAAATAATCACAAGCATGTCTAAAATTTGAGATAATTTGGTTTTTAAACAAATCAGAT